GAGAGAGAGAGAGAGAGAGAGAGAGAAAGAGAGAGAGAGAGAGGAAAAAAAAAAACAAAAAAAAACGGCCTCACTAATCTTCGCACATCAAACTTCTTTGACGAGACGCTCTGCAACGACTTTACATCTCTTATAGAAAGCCCTTAGCCGGTCATTGATGTGGAGTCATTTCTGGCAATGCTGACAATTGATGACCTCTGCACGATGCTCTGCGTTTGTTACGACCCTCGACATCATCGGTTTTGCGAAAGAAATCAGGTGGGATATGCAGTCCGCCACAAGCCTTGCCATTTGTCGTTTATTAGCACTTGCCACGAACTGTTCAAATATTTTCGTGGTCTTAGGCACTGCGAACTCTGCATTGCTTGTCGACGGTGCTTTGCTGGCGAGGACGCAAGGGAAATTGTGTCGAATTTCATGACATCGAAAGGTGTTGATATCTTTGCAGTCTAGCAACAAGTGTGCCGCTGCCTCACRGACACTTCGACCTGCGTCGTTGTTGCACATCCGCATAGTGAGATCGACCTCCCTGCTAGCGTTCGTGGCTTGCTCATTGTGCGCCTCGTTGGTTTCTACGGGGTTCGGCGTTACAGACAACTGTCCGGATGTAAGGCGACCTCTGGTGTGCTGAAGAGAACATACAATATCGGCGCAGCTGTTCAGCAGAGTCCGTACGTTCCTATTAAGGCCATCGCATCCCGTATGTGCGTCGTCGGTCTGCGGCCGATGGTTGAGAGTGTAGTGCTCTACGGTCTCCGTACAATGACGGATGCAGTCCTCGGCAAAAGACAAAAGATCTACAAGACTTTTCGACCACGCTGTCAGCGGACCTCTGTCCAGTTCCTGACTATCGTAAGACCCCCACCCTTCCCTGACCACACATTTGTCAGCAGAGGAACAACATGTGACATCCCATTCACAAGCGTTTTGTGCTGTGCCACGGAACGAATTGTCGATGAGACTAAGCAGATTTTTTCGATAGCATTTGAGATTCACAACCATACTCTGGTAATCCTCTAACGTGCAATTTTTTGAGTCCGCCATTTTTTTAAATTGTTCGGTCATACCCTCCCTCAGATCCGTCACAAGAGACTTCGGATCGGGCAACAACAACCAGAATATGCTATACTGCATACTTTTCGCAGTTTCTGTTATTTCCGCGAGTGCAAGTTCCACACGACCTGTCTCATCGCGCGCCTGGGTGACCAACTGTTTCTGCTCGATCAGTTCAGCTGTCAGTTTATCTATAACTTCTTGCTGCTTTTCTACTATCTCATCCCAACTCTCATCGATTAAAGCCTGTGTTTCATCTTTGCCTCCCCACAGTGCATATACATCTGGAGATCGATCGCACTCTGTCTCTTCTCGTGCCTTTCTTCTCGTGCCTTTCGTTTCTCTCCGACTTCCAACATTCTTGATATCTGAAAAGGCGGAAAGAAAGAGACGCACAGAGAGATAGATAGATAGATAAATATAYATATATATATATATATATATATATATATATATATATATATATATATAGTCACACACACACACACAGAGGTTGACTACTGCGCGACAGAATAACGTTATTCAGTAACGTTCGACCGTATTATGGCACGCAGTAGTCTACCGAGGAAGTCGCACAGTGAGGCAGTGGTTGAACACGTCAAAACTTGGGAACACAACCATACTTACAATTAAGCTCACACTTCAGGCATGTATACCTAAGCACCCCCTCGAATACAACACATCCCCACCAAACCCCAAAGCTCGGATGCATATATTCACAATTCCCCTCGCTTCGTGGCGTGGGGCCTGCAACTTGTAGAGGAAATAAAAATGAAGAAGAAGAAAAAGAAGAAGAAAAAAAAGAAGAATAAGAATAAGAAGAAGAAGTCAAAGAATAAGAAAAAGAAAGAAAGAATGAATGAATGAATGAATGAATGAATGAATGAATGAATGAATGAATGAATAAGAAAAAGAAAGAAAGAAAGAAAGAAAGAAAGAAAGAAAGAAAGAAAGAAAGTAAAGAAGAGGAAGAAGAAGAAGAAGAAATAGAAGAAGAAGAAGAAGAAGAAAAAAAAAAAAAAAATGATCTTGTCGGGGAG